AAATATTATTATTGCTTTGGTTAGAACAATAATGAACAACCTCTGGCAAAAAAAAAAATTGCCTGAAAAATCCCCCTTTTTTCTCAATGTTGTCACTTCATCTCCGATATTCAACATTTAAGGCATTATGGAGACGAAGTTGCACACAAATCAAACCTCGCCTTCCACATACCCAACAACGATGAGAAACCCGAGGCTTCGCTTTATATTTCACATACACTGAAGAAAGAAAAAAAAATGTGTGTGATATTAACTCTTGGTAAACGTACGATAATCTTCTCAAGTTTTGTATCATTTTTTTAAAACTAAAGAAACGAACAGAATATGTATATATGTATATACATCCTTTTCTTCCTCTTTTTGAACAATAATTAAAAAAAAACAAAAAAAAACACCATTGTCATATACGTGACAGGCTAGTTTAGCCCCAAAATTTCACATTGGCTAATGTGTAGTAAACATAAACAATACTTTATAACTAGTACTTTCCTTTTCTTCCTTCCCCCTTCATTTATTTCCTCGCTTATTCCTTCTCTTTCCCTCCCTTCTCCTCTCCTTTCCCCCTCTTCCTTCTTTTCCCCTTTCTCCCTCTTATCATTTCTCTTCTATTTTTCCTTTCCAAACTTCCACATTAAACCTGTCGTTTTCAATAGTATCCCCAAGTTGAAAACACGTGAAATCTCCTCCATGCAGCCTTCATTAATGGGGAGGTAGATGGGGATGAAAATAAATTCATCTCTTCCATACCCATAGATCGCTGACAGAGCAATAATAAACAAGCCCTGCCAAACAAACCATCAGCCTGAAGAATCTTTTATTTTAAAAAAGAAACTCAAAGTTGTCACTTCATCTCCGATATTCAACATGTAAGGCATTATGGAGACGAAGTTGAACAAAAATCAAACCTCGCCTTCCACATACCCAACAACGATGAGAAACCCGGGGCTTCACTTTATATTTAATATACACTACGATTATATACCATAAATTATCAGGAAAAACAAAAAATGTGTGTGATATTAACTCTTGATAAAAGTACGATAATCTTCTCAATTTTTGTATCATTTCTTTAAAACTAAACAAACAAACAAAATATGTAGGCCTATATATTTATATACATTAAACAAAGATCCCTCTCATATACCTGACAGGCTAGTTTGACCCATACATTTCACATTGGCCAATGTATAGTTCACAATACTTTATAGCTTGTACTTTTCTTTTCCTCGTTCCCCATTTTATCTAATTATTTTTCCTTTCTTTTCCCCTCCCTCCTTTCCCTTCTCCTTTCCTCCTCTTCTCTCCTATCTCTTTCCTCTCTCTTTCTTCTTTTTCTATTTTTCCTTTCCAAACTTCCACATTAAACCTGTCGTTTTCAATAGTATCCCCAAGTTGAAAGCACGTGAAATCTCCTCCATGCAGCCTTCATTAATGGGGAGGTAGATGGGGATAAAAATAAATTCATCTCTTCCATACCAATAGATCGCTGACAGAGCAATAATAAACAAGCCCTGCCAAACAAACCATCAGCCTGAAGAATCTTTTATTTAAAAAAAAGAACTCAATGTTGTCACTTCATCTCCGATATTCAACATGTAAGGCATTATGGAGACGAAATTGAACAAAATCAAACCTCGCCTTCCACATACCCAACAACGATGAGAAACCCGGGGCTTCACTTTATATTTAATATACACTACGATTATATACCATAAATTATCAGGAAAAACAAAAAATGTGTGTGATATTAACTCTTGATAAAAGTACGATAATCTTCTCAATTTTTATATCATTTCTTTAAAACTGAACAAACAAACAAAATATGTAGGCCTATATATTTATATACATTAAACAAAGATCCCTCTCATATACCTGACAGGCTAGTTTGACCCATACATTTCACATTGGCCAATGTATAGTTCACAATACTTTATAGCTTGTACTTTTCTTTTCTCAATTTCCTATGGAAAAGAGAAATCTTAATAACATATTGATTGGTGTAACATTCTTGATTACATAACTCATCAGCTATTACCACACTCTTTTTTGTTGTTGACAAGAATGATATGAAAGGCATAAAGTAAATCTTGGAATATTATTCATCTTTGTCATAGGAACCTATTTTACAGTAACAAAATGGTCTTTGACCTATTAAATGGCTGCACATTATGTTATTCTGTGTCCATGCCTGACAATCACTTTGAAGTTTATAAGTCAATCCTGGTTGCAGTTACTGTCTGAGTTAGGGTGAATCTCGCTGCTCATTCGTACAATTCTACACCATCATAATATGCTCTTGTAGGTAGCGCTTGCCTTTAGTATCTTATTAATCTCTTCTTTTGGCTGAAAAAAGTATTCACATTAACTTGCACATAATTTAATCTACAACTGATTTCCAGTGAAAACAATACATGTAGCTCGCTTTTTGCTTCTCATACTGTAAAAAAATACTTATCTGAAAACAGATCGTGGTAGGTCTCCTTGTAATCACAAACAAAATCATGAATTAGGGGTAGCTGGAAGTTCAGGTTCTCCATAAGTCGTATGACATCTTGACTTGAGGCATGTCGTAGTAGAAACGAGATCCTTACACTTGTTACATAAAACTTTTTCCTTCCTGGCGTAATGAAGTGCTCGATTTAGAGCTGTAGGATTCAAACGAAGATTGTCGAAACGTGATTTCCATTGAAAACAATACATGTAGCTCGCTTTTTGCTTCACACACTGTAGCACATCTATGAAGTAAAGGATACTTATCTGAAAACAGATCGTGGTAGGTCTCCTTGTAATCACAAACAAAATCATGAATTAGGGGTAGCTGGAAATTCAGGTTCTCCATAAGTCGTATGACATCTTGACTTGAGGCATGTCGTAGTAGAAACGAGAGCTTTAAACTTGTTACATAAAAGTTTTTCCTTCCTGGCGTAATGAAGTGCTCGATTAGAGCTGTAGAGTTCAAACGAAGATTGTCGAAACGTGATTTCCGTTGAAAACAATACATGTAGCTCGCTTTTTGCTTCACACACTGTAGCACATCTATGAAGTAAAGGATACTTATCTGAAAACAGATCGTGGTAGGTCTCCTTGTAATCACAAACAAAATCATGAATTAGGGGTAGCTGGAAATTCAGGTTCTCCATAAGTCGTATGACATCTTGACTTGAGGCATGTCGTAGTAGAAACGAGAGCTTTACACTTGTTACATAAAACTTTTTCCTTCCTGGCGTAATGAAGTGCTCGATTAGAGCTGTAGAGTTCAAACAAAGATTGTCGAAACGTGATTTCCATTGAAAACAATACATGTTGTAGCTCTCTTTTTGCTTCACACACTGTAGCACATACTTGTTACATAAAACTTTTTCCTTCCTGGCGTAATGAAGTGCTCGATTTAGAGCTGTAGGATTCAAATGAAGATTGTCGAAACGTGACTCAATATCCCTTCTCCTCCGCTTCCATTCGGGAGCACTTGCCTCTCCATAGGCCGTATGACATCTTGACTTGAGGCATGTCGTAGCCAAAGCGAGAGCATTGTCAGATGACACTTGTTGCATACAGCTTTTTCCTTCCTGACATATTGATATGCTCCTATTTTGTAATGATTTAGAACTGTAGAACTCATACGAAGATTGTCGAAACTTGACTCAATATCCCCTCTCCTCAGCTTCCATTCGAGAGCACTTGCCTCTAATTTCTTATTAATCTCTTCTTTTGGCTGAACAGAGAATATTCCCTTTAGTTCCTGCTTTAACTTTGCACTGTATCTTCCCATGTGTAAGAGTAACTCAACATACATCATTATATAATGAAAAATCTCGACGAACGAAACCGACTCGATCTGCAGATTTCCCGCATGAACTAAACTTTAGGTGACGCACAACTCAACAACAGTAGTCCGAAAACTTGCATATAATTAATCTTCAGCTGATTTCCATTAAAGACGGTGCTCGACTATCCGAAATCAAATCGTGGTAGGTCTTCTACTTGTTATCAAAAACGAAATCATGGCTTTGGGTTTGGGGTAGCTGTAAATTCAGTTCTCCATAGGCCGTATGACATCTTGACCCTCCTCTCGCAAACCTTGGATGAATCTTTGGTGGGCTGCCACTGGCAGCCACACCTTGTTTATGAATAGTTTGCTTGGTTCAGACTTTGAGAAGTACGCAAGTTTGCCTGCTTTTCTTGCCGCAAAAAGAGCTGGCATCTGCTTTTGCCTCAAATTCCTCATTCTCAATGGGATATCTTCCCGTATGGAAATTGTCCCTTTCAGGTTTCTCGCATTCTTCATAATGGTGTCCCTGTCCCTGTATCGAAAGAAGCGCGCCTTAATAGGGCGTGGCATGGTTTTCGTCATGATCCTATGCACCCTCTGATATTCTACGGCATCGGCCTCTTCTTCTGACATCTTCAAATTATTAATGTAGAAATCCTTCATAACTTGTTTGATGTCTTCTCCTTCCTTCTCTGGTAGTCCCATGAAAATAAGGTTCTCTCTTGCCACGTACACGGCAAGTTTGTCAATTTCCATTTGAAGAGCCGCTTCATTTTCCATTGCTTTCGCTTCCATCATCCTCATTTTCTTCTTAATCTCATCCAACTCCTTACTTTGAAAATCAATTGCTTCCTTTAAACCTTTGAATTGAGATTCAATTTGCTTCATTTGCTCTTTAATGTTAGCCTCCAGGGAAGAGAATCTTTCTCCTAATCTCTCTGTCTGCTGCTCCAGCAGCCGTCGGAGAGTCGGAAGCAGGTTTGTATCAGGGCTTGGGGGGCTCGAACCGGCATCAGCTCTCGGTCTCTTCGTAGATCCTTTTCCTGTATTACGTAAGTTGCTGGCCATATTTTCTATCACGCGTTCCAATGGGATTCGGGAGAGGCTCGAAAAACTCGTGTCTACTCTACGAACATAACAGACACACACACACACACACGCACGCACACACACACAGGCACATCAATCAAACGATAAGAAAACAGAGTTACTCATTTCTCCTCAAGATTCCTTAAACGGTCCAATCCCAGCATAACCTGAGGGTAGGCGACATCAACACAGCGGCATCAACATAGGCAAGAACCGGGGAGCCAGCATTGACCACCAACTTGAGATGAAAACCCAAGTTAAGAAGATCTGCAGATCTTCCATGGCTGCCATCCGCAAAATCGGACAGATCCGGATGTACCTTGACACTAAAACAACGTTAAACTCGTCCATGCATTCGTCATTTCACGACTGGACTCATCATGCAACTCTCTCCTCGCATCCAGAATAGCGTAGCCAGAATGATTGAGCAATCCCGACGGACAGGGCACACATCACACATCCTCCTTCGTCTCCACTGGTTAACTGTCAAAAAACGAATAAACTTCAAAGTGCTACTTCTCATATACAAAATACTCCACGACAAAGCCCCTTCATATCTATATCAAGTCCCACGCACCCATACTCAATTCTACGGCGAAAGATCCCTGAGCTACTATGGACCGACCCTATATGGAACAACCTCCCCCTCAATATTCGTAACGCCCCGACGTTCGATTCATTCAAATCACTTCTGAAGACATTTATGTTCATCCAATAGTCTGTTAATTATATGCACTTTCATATTAATTTATTGTCAAAAAATGTTATTTATTTACTACAATGTGTTTTTGTTAATTCATGCATATTTAAATCTTTCAATTAATCATTTAATGAACTGTATAATAAAATTGATTGCTGTAAAGCGTATAGACAATTTGTTATTATGCGCTTTATAAAAATGACTTTATTATTATTAATATCCTCTTATATACGTATCTCCTCTCACTCGATCCTCTCTCTTTCTCACACACTTCATTTCCTCTAGTAGGCCTATCCTTTCCTTTACTTATTACCCCCTCTCTCTCTCTCTCCTCCTCCTCTTCAAGGCCTACTATTATTTTCATTTAACGCACCCCACCCCCTCTCTTTCTCTCTCCATAATCATCTTCCTCCCAAAGGCCTACTATCATTTAACTCACCCACCCCCTCCATCTCTCTCCCTCTCTCTCTCTCTCTCTCTCTCATATTCCCTTCTTATTGTTGCCCCACAATCCTTTCCCATCGCTACTAAAGAATAGACTAATTTTAACACGAGCGGGCACAAAATTGAGTTATCATAAATTAAACTTGTTAATCTTTGAATCACAAACTTTGATCCTAATTGAACAGGTTCGAACCGGTTTACTTTTCCTGTTATCTGATTTATTACTTTATTACATATCATACAATTAACTCAAACCACCTTTAACAGGCTATGTGAACAGTGTAATCTTATCTGCAAATCTGCAAATCTGCAATTAGCCTTCAAACATTGGCCCTTCCTTATACCACACAAGTTCAACCCGACAATGGCTTTATAAAGGTCTTCAATCATGTAAACATCATCTTTTTAAGAAAACAAAACAAGTTTATGCATATTATTTCAAAATAATTACAGCTCTACAAAATTATGATTAGGACTTATCTTTGGTTATCTTTCCTTGATTCCAAACAGTATAATAATTTTGAGAGGTTTGTTTTTTAAAAATGAGCTTCCCAAAGCATTCAATTGGAGTTTCATATTAAGTACAAGTTGACTACAGTCAATTCCATTCTTTTAAAATGCAAAACACACAACCACCAATGATAAAGACACCAAATTAGAAATATCACTGCAGAATGAAATTCGGAAGACTGCGAAATAATAACATTATATAGTACATGGATTTACAAAACGAAGCTGCTATTTAAGGCATCATACGCATCACTACTTGTTGAATATCATTCAACTCCTTTTTCTGTTCTATTTGGGTTAGTATACTCTTGAATCATACAATGTACATTATAAACATGTTATCTGAAAACTCTGAAAGTACGAACAAAAATTACCTGAAGCAAAGAAAAAATATGAATGTAATTGCTTGCTTGTCAGATGTGCAAACTCTTATCTTATCGTGTGTTTTCTCTATAATGCAGTCATAAATTTCAAAACTGAATTAATACTTTTCATGATGTTTAACGAAATAAAAATCAAGTTACTCAACTCTCATCAGACAATATACATTTTATTTTTACATCTGAACATTGGTAGCTTTCAAATCTCATTTTGTACGCAATAAAATTATGTTTACAATCAGATAAAAAGTAGCGTTGACATTCACTGTAGAATGTGGAGCGTATTTAACAGGAGTTGCAGTCTGTTTGTACGGTATATGTTAATTCCATTCATTCATTTGATTTGTTTCACCTATACAATTTTCAAAATACGTTCTATTTCTCCGTAACAATTAGACAAGTGTGCACTTGTAAAATGGCGACTGGTCGGAATGCTCCCCGGGGAGTGGAGAATGTCCATACATTATGTGCGGGTAGGCCTGAATCTGATGACCGGGGTAATAATATATCTGTAAAGCGCCTAGAAACACCGTTGTATCGATGTATTTGGCGCTATATACAAGCGGGATATCATTATTATTATTTGGTAAATGGAGCCAACAAATAGCAAAAGCTAGTCAATGTAGACCTCGTTCAATATCGAAAGTAATTTATGACAAATCAATCATTAATAACAATTATCGAATAGAAGAAAAGTATGTTTAGTTTGTACTAACGTCGAACAACTTAATATATGCAGGAAGTAATAATATGTCTCAAACTAATACAAACACCAAATGGTTACCAAGTATTGACATGCACAGAATTATGTGTTGTATACTGATAGTATGAAATATACCCATCGACTATTATAACTTTCATAAGATGCCATTAACAATGAATTAAGATAATTTCCGATGTCGAACAGCTTTTAACTTTCTTAGTATCCAAACCGGGAATATCATTATAAAGGCAGGGTATTTTACCCACATTGTAACCATGCACTGCTGTAATGTATTTTCAATAGTACCATTTGAGGGGAGATACAGAACAGATCTTTGTAAACTACTTGAAATCGCAATGACCTGAAAAGAAATATATTTTCTTTTACAAATCTAATACACACAAACGTTATGCTTGCGAATATAATATGTTGTACTTACATGTACATGTATGTAACACGTGTCCACATGTATATCATAACTACATGTATCTAGGGGATATAACACTATCAGACGCCATGAGTACTGTTTTCATGTGGAAAAGACATTAAAGACAACTCTGGCTTTTGGTTTCTAGTTATTCTGCAGCCAAAGTAACTATTTCAGGTGGAATAGTAAGAAAATACACCTTTTTATCACAAGCAAATGCAAGTGTATTACGGGATAGAGAAACCAGGTAACACCATGTACTATTCAGTGTTAGTTCAAGCTCCTCGAACTCTTTCACTTTCTTGAGCTTCAAACCTTCGGGACGATAGAGAGTGATTTGTATTCTACCAGCTGGCTGATTGACACTCGCAATGAACACCCTGTCTTCCTCATCTACTGCTGGGTACAGGTATTCCCCCTCTTTGGCTGATATAGGATCACCCGATTCCCCATATCTGTCATAGACTCGTACTCTGCTGGGAATATTGTTGCAAGAACTTGAGATGATCACGCCTGTCTTGGTTGCAAGGGCTTGGTTTGGTATTTCCACTGTTGCAATTGAGTTCTTTCTCGTGCTAACAGTAGGATCATAGATATGAATCCGATCATTTCTGTTCGCCGCTATGATTTCATTCGTAGAGCTAACACTTAAATATGGGAATGAAAGTCCTGTTTCATTTAAGATTCTTTTATTTGATGTCGCCGACCAGTTTTTACTGAAGATCCTTATTTTCTCCCGATCTAATGGCACCACAATCTGCAAATTGCTTTGAACGGCGATATCGTAGACAGTTGCAAAATGTTGTGAACATTTGTGCACGCATCCATTGATTTCCACTTTATCAGCCTCTTTCCTGCTATTACCATATCCGACAAGAATCGAATTCTCAGATCGTGTTATGCCACTCATTGGAAATGGTAGGCCAACCACTTTTCCTATTGCCAATGAAGGAATGAAGGAAACACGACCAAGATCAAGTTGCGTATCTCCTGTCGGTATGAACAGTGTCGCTGTATTACGTGTCATTAAGACGGTTACAGATTTCTCATCAATAGCTTCCTCCAAGAGACCTTCCAGTTCACTGGAGATTAATGAGTGCGCCGCCAGACTGTCTTTCTCTAAATGTCTTGACCTTCCGTTGGCCACGAGGCTCACAGAGCTTGAAATAGCCTCGATCTTCTGTCGATGACGAGACTTCAAGGCATCAAGTTCTTTGTCACAATTCTCTTGCAGGAGCTGTGTTTCTGTGATAAGCAGCTGCCTATTCTCTTTCAGTTTGTCAATTTTCCCCATGAATGCCTCTTCTATGTTACCTTGCAGCTTTTGGATAGCCGTGTAGATTTCTTGGCGTTTGGATTCAATATTCTGGATATGTTTCTCGAACTCGTTTTTTCTGTCGTTGCTGCGCTTGAGGATATTGTCCACTTTCTGCTGAATCTCCCTCTCGACGTCGGCCTGATTTTTGAAGCTGTGATCACGATGATCAACGATCATGCACTTCAGACATAGATATACTTTGCAATCTTCGCAAAAAAGATCCTTGTTTTCATGCTTGTGCACAAAACACTTGTTTCTGACTTGCCCGATACTGGCAGTTCCATCCACGACGTCTTTCATGGACACAACCTGATGTCCCTTGAAGAACGATGTCAGTTGACTATGACCATGGTGGCACTTTGCGCACATGAAAGTGCCACATTCGTAGCAGAAGGATACAGCATCTCCCTGGAGCTCACAAAGAGTGCATCTCGTTTGACCATCCAGAACGGTATTTATCCCAGCATGCGAGCTGTGGTACTCGTCTACCAAGGCTTTGACGGTGAAGTTCGGGGGTAGACCAGCGACTCGACTTTCAGCCAACTTTGTGACTTTCCTGCAGAGAGGACACACCATGTGATCTAAGTCTCGATGGGCGGCATCATACCTCTCTAAACACTGCTTGCAGAACGTATGTCCACATATCAACATGGAAGCATTATCAAACACGTCCAGGCACAAAGGACACAATATATTTTGAGAAGCTGCCTCTTCTGTTTTTTCCGCCATGACGTAGATTAATCAATGTATTTCCACCAACGTACAATGTAGGTTTATGGTTCGGCCAGATTCAAAGCACGAAACCAGTACCAGCCACTTGCAGTCGACAGTGTGTGTTATTGAATGGATCCGCCCATATCAAATGAACGAGGAAAATTGTCCAAACTGCTGAATCAAAGTTTTGATGTTTCAAATGTATGTCAAACTTGTGCACAGTTTAACTTCACACTATACGGAACATGGCATTTGTCTTGACAAGTTTTGATGCTTGTGTACTCTCAATGGCAATTTAAACGCAGGCCTATTATGTCCTTATTTATTTAAAAGAATACATGTACACCTTCAAAGGTATACACGTATAAAATGGCGCAGACGCGTAATGAAAAAAGAGACAATTGTATGCACTGGCGTTGAGTGGAATCGCTATAAAGTACAGTGTGTACCAGAAAAAATACACACTTTTTAAAATATCTTCCAAAATTATAATTTCGCAATGTCTGCATTATTTTTTCTTGATAAGAAATTATAGGTGAGAGTTTATTCAATCGGATAACACTAACACTGTTGACGACAGTTTACGCTCGAGAAAGCAGTGGTTAATTTCGAACGATTCGCGATAATTAATGGTTTGCGAAAAAATGTTCATTTTTGAATTGGAGCAAAGGTAATAGATGTCAGACATCAATTACAGTTATCAATAATTAACTTGAACCATCAGTTTATCTTTGGCCTTACATCTGCAGTCGACCATGCACCCCTAGACCTACCGTCATCCTCACACACATAATTATATACGGACACGCACGCGCACACATGCACATAACCAGTGCGTAGAGATCTATAAGAACACCAGTGGCGTACGCAGGATTTTTTCATGGAGGGGGGGGGGGGGGGGGGTGGGGTGTTTTAAAATTGGATGGCATCATTGATGTGACCCCGCGAGGTAGCGAAGCAACCGAACTGGAGAGTGTGTTGGAGGAGGTTATTCCATCCAACGTCGTGAATTTCGATATCCTAGCTTTCAAAAAACCTGGGGTTTTCCTGCATTTCAAGTTTTCACGTTTCTTTTTTTTCCTTTCACATTTTACAGTAAAGAGAAAGAGAGAGAGACATATTAAATGTAAATCATAAAGAGAAAAAATAGAGATATCATCAAATTAAAATTTTGGACGATTCTTTTCGAGTGAGTACTTTTTGTTTATACACCCTGTATAAATATTCCACGTTCTAACTCCGGGTTTCCCCCACGCACTTTAAACTTTGCCCTAGACTACATAAATAATTGTATTTCAATACAAAAGTCAACATGCGAATAACTAATATGTTAAATATACATTATCGCACGTGCATCTGAAGCCGGTGAGTCTGGCCAGGCTAACATGTTGTTAGGCTATGGTCACAACTCAGAGAAGCGACCGACCGATAAGTAGCCTGCTCGGTCGCCGCTGGGATTGAGGCATCGCCCACCGATTTTTGGAGAAGTCGAGCAGGATGTACAGCCCAAGCGATGCCTGGACGGTTCCCTGTCGATTTCTCGTCGGTCGCCGGTCGATTTTAGGTGAAAACTGGGCGAAATCGCGGAGCTTTTCCGCGCGGCGTCCCGGCAGTGACCGACTGATGACCCTCCGATTCCCGGGCGGTCTCCCACCGGCGGAACATTTGCGGGTGTCTCGTAGGTGTACCTGCGGCGGCCCGCCGGGCTCTGCCGAAAATTTCTCACGGGCAACCTGGGTATATATGACTTCCCCAGACTGGTCATCAATAACAACGCTTTTGCTCTTCATCTGAGAGGTCAACGAGGTCTACGATGCCGTTGATTCCACCTCAACGACTACGACAGCGAGATCCACAACCCCAGCACTTTGGTCTGCTGAGGGAGAGGGTGGCATTTGCCCGTTACCGTTACAATCTTACCCTGGCGGCCCTGGTTGCCCTGGTGGCAGAATAAGAAAGACGTGCGGAGATCCTGCGCAGAAGAAGAAGATGGTGGGTGAGACCTTGGATTGCCCGGCGACCAATCTATGGCCAATACGAGCAGCTCATGAATGAGCTCAGAAGGGAAAGCCCGGCAGACTTCAAGTCCTTCCTCCGGGTGGAGCCAGATCTGTTTTTAGAGCTGGTACAACATTTTGGTCCCAGGATCGAGAAGAGTAAAAAGTAAGTAGGTTTGGCAATTTAAACTCAAATCAAACGTTTGACCCGGGCAATACCACGAGAAGTACACCGGAATGTGAATTTGTTCCATGAAATATATTTTGAATCTTATGAAATCTCCCCGCATTATTCTTAAATGAATAATCAAGAAACAGGTTATGCTTTAATTTAAAACCATGACATTTATCCTGCGAGTCTTGCTTATACGATAAACGAGAACATACAAGTCAGTAAAGACGGTACTGTAGTGAGTGACAAATGTATAATGTACATTTTCCTTGTTGGTTCTTCTTTTGCAGAGGCAGAGCCCCCTTGCAGCCTGGCTTGAAACTCGCGATCACCCTGCGCTTCCTTGCCACAGGCAACCCTTTCCGGTCCACGAAGTTCAGCCTTAGGGTGGCCCACAACACCATCTCTATCCTCGTCTCCGAGGTGTGCCAGGCCATCGTTGACGAATACAGGCAGAAAGTTTTCAACACCCCATCCACCCCTGATGAGTGGCGGCGCGTGGCCCAGGTCTTTCAGGATAGCTCGCACTTTCCCCATGTCTGCGGAGCGGTTGACGGCAAGCACGTGGCCATTCGGAAGCCGGCTCACAGTGGCAGTACATACCACAGTATCGTCATACTGGTGCTCGCCGACGGTGAATACAAAGCTCTCTGGGCTGACGTTGGTTCACCGGGCTCCGAGTCCAACTGCGGCATTTTCAACAAGTCCGGGCTCCTCCGTTCTCTCATCAATCACTGGCACCATCGGCTTTCCGCCACCTGAGCCCCTGCCCAACGACGACCAAGACTCTGGCCCGTATTCTGAAGTCAGGTTTAGTTAAACCCAGGTTTAACTTTAAACCCAGGTTTAACTTTAAACCCAGGTTTAACTAAGCCAGACTTCAGGTCTAAGTATCATTTCAGTTTCTGAAAGCCAGGTTTAGTTAAACCCAGGTTTAAGTCTAAAACCCAGGTTTAAAGTTAAGCCAAGGTTTAACTACCATGGAGATGTAGTCTGCTTCTACTGCACATGCTCAGTACAACTCATCCATCTTCAAGGGTAGCTGATATAGGCTTTTTTATAGCTGGATTTTGTGCTGCAAATTTAATTATTTCAATTCAAAATATTCGACACAAACAAATATCTTTCGAAGCAACCATTGAACGTTATGACGTGATCTTTTGTTTTGTTTTACCCTTAGATTTATTGTAAAACTGCTGAAAAAGTCTGAATCGTGGTGGAATTGATCTTTACGAATAAATAAATAATCAATACAAAAATCGGTAGAACTAATTCTACAATTTCTGCATGCCCAGATTAGTCAAAACTTCCAGAACCGTCATAAAAATGCTCTAAATACATATGGAAAACTTACGCGCATCTGCTCTGCGCCTCGTCGCTTATCCTGTTAAGCACGGGGAACGTACACCAAAAAAGCCATGTTTTGATATAATTGCTGGTATTACGGGAAAATGGAATTTTAAAAAAAAAATCTTCGGACGGTTTCTTATAATTTGAAATGTCGTCTTAAAAATGATACTAAATTTGGGATTATTCTTTCAGGGGAAACGGTTGCACTTTTCCCCTAAAAGTTTTGACTTTTTCAGCCTGCCTATGGAGATTGCACTGTTTTTCCCCTTTTTTGTCGGGTTTCGCTCAGTCAACCAGTCGGCAAATCTTACACGAGTGACGTATAAAAAATCTTCGGACGGATTCAGAAACCTTGACATCCCACCTTTACGTTGGTATAACGATTGTTTTCATTTGTGGAGGGGAAACGGTGGCAATTTTCCAACAAATAAAAGGTAGCTTTTCATAGTAAACCAAGGTGACTGGGATAGTGTAGCGCTATAGCTACTCACAACGAGTGCGCCCGTACCGTACAAACAATGCACAGTTATAGCTTGATCCGTGCAATCGCTGTAGAGGTCAGTGTGTGTATTTAACGCAGTGCGTACAGAGTGTGTGCGTTGCGCTCAAAATCTCGGAGACCGCATTACGCGCATCATGTCTATACATGCGCACCCGAATGGGTCATTGCACTCCAACTAGAGGGAAGTCAGTATAATCATTGGCAAAGGGAATGAGTTCGATTTCGTCTACGGTGTAATGGCAAGCCTCTGCTGGTGTAGTCTACCGTAATTTTGCATTTATTTAACTATAGGTGAGTTTCATTTCTAATTCTAGTTTGTTAGTGTTAGTAAGTAGTCAACGAGAGCAAGCGCTCGCACCCCTGCTTTGTCGCATTGAACTAGTCCGATCAGTGTACTTTCACGCAAGAGTGCACTTGAGCGCGCTCTCTTCGTATAAAGCGGTTGTTTAGTGCTGTATTCTTTTATGCGCGTTTAGGGCTAAAAGTTTTCCATATGGATTTAGATGACTAAAAGATAAACTTAAAATGATCAAAAATACCTTCTTGATGCAGAATAACTAGTCCAAAGTCAACATTGCTGAAGCTCATTTGTTTGATTTTTAGGCGTTTTTTTTAAAGGACAAATGCAATCCTTTTTCGAACCAACGTGTCGGGTAACGCGACCCCGGCCCCCTTCTCGGTCACCGTGCGCGCATATCATGCATTCGATCGTGCGCGCATTCATTCGTACGTACACACGGTTTAGAAAACGTATTGCATTGTCCTAAAAAAAAACGCTTAAAATTCGACCATAATTATGAGCTTCAAAGTTGACTTTGGATTAGTTATTCTGCATCAATAAGGTATTTGTGATCATTTCTCTTTTAGTCATTTTAATCTTATTTAGGTCTAGATCTAGACCTCTAGATCTAGACCCTCTACTCTAGTGCATCTTTAGCCTTTAGGATGTTCTGGATGTTTTGACATCATAATATAGACTAATTTATATAGATGT